AATAAATGATAAAAACAATATTAAAATAATAACAATACAACAATCACAATAATAATAAAAATAAAACCAAACCTCATTCTCTAAGCCTTGAGCACTCCGCCACCCAGTGGACAAAACGTGGAACTACAGCATTGAATCCCATCATGCTTTGCCGTACCCGCCGACCCGAGCTCCACCGATGCTAAGCTAACTGCCTTTAGCTGCCGGGAGCGGACATGTTGTACGGACCCTTTCGCGGATAAACGTCGCTATAAGCGGGGAATCGGGTGCGGAGGGGCTGGCTCGGGGGCGTCGGGCAGCCATGGACGCCGTCAACGCCTTTAACCAGGAGGTAAGAGGCCGCACAGACACCCTGGACCCGCCGAGGCTGGCGGTGCTGGTCGCGGTGCTGCGTCTCAGCAGAGCTAGCCGAGCAGGACGGACCGGGGGCCTGCTCGGTTAAGCTAGCAGGACATGTCCGGTGCATGGCTAACCCGGGGTGGCGTCAGTGCTGCACGCGTGCACTGCAGGTTAATTCGAGTATTTCACGGCTATCAGAAAGCTAGCTTAACCGGGTGTAGCTACCTTTGGCCTCTGTTCATTTCGGTGTTAGCTTGTGGGAGTGTTGGCCACAATGCTACACAGGAAACACTCTCCTGCTGTTAGCGTCGCCCTGTTAGCTGAGACACTAAAGATCACAACAAACACAAACATCTGCCTCGCAGAGTAAATGCAGCGCCAATCTGTGAGTCAGCTCATGAACAGGTCGAGTCTGCTGGTGTTTCTGGCTCCTCTCGTTTCTCCTCGCGGCTCCTTTTCAATCACACGTTCTCCTCCTCGATCACAGAGACACTAACCTGTGATCGCATCACATGTGTCTTGTCACATCAGCCCCGATACTTTGATTTGCATTAAACCTTTTACCGACGCAGCGTCTGTTGCTTCTCGACATGTGTCTTCCAGTTTCAAGAGCAGTTTTCTGTTTGTCTGGCGCAGAGACGGAGGGAAGTAGTAGTGGTGGTGGTGGTGGTTTCTGTTTGGAAATCATTTGTTTTCTCTTGTGCACATGAAACATTTCTCAATGTTCAGTATAATCCAGTGTGCTGTCAGTTCATCTCTACTAAAAGAGCAAACTTCAGTGGTGTTTGAATGAGTTTCTCTCAGGCTCTTCAGTCATGTGCATCTCACTGGTGAGCCTCACATTGACACCCATCAACTGTGCATGTTATTTCTGATTTCTTTTCATGTGTATACATGACCGTTTGGATTCTCGGCTCAAAAAAAATCCCAACTGCATCATTACATCTCCTCAGACCCGAACTGGATTAACTTTCAGACGAGCGCATTCCTTCGCCGAGGTCCCACAGCCTCCTTTAATTCGATCAAGCTGCACCAAACTGCACACACTACTAATACTACCACTGGAGAAACCAGTAAGATTCACCCACTAGACAAACCACATCATTATAAATTGTCTACTAAATGATGAAAGCTTTCAATTCTGCATTCATTGCTTGCAGAATATGAGGTTTTATTCTACCGCCTAATGCCACTAAAACTTAAAAATTGTAAAAAGCTTATCTTGTAAATGTGTCTTGATATGGGAAGCGTTGGAAAAATAAGTGGAATACAATTTATTTTTTTATCAACGCTGAAATTCTGTCAATTCATCCTTTATCTGCTGTGTCTCTAGTTATTCTCCTTGATGGACTCCAAGCCCCCGATCTCTCGGGCGAAGATGATATCCATCACCAAATCAGCCATCAAAGCTATGAAAGTAAGAAGGAGTTTTGTATTGTTGTTGTTTTTAAAAAATAACATTATATTAACTATGTTTTGAGCATATTTCTAATCTTGTCACCGACTCCTTTGCTTCTGTCTTTCTCAGCTCTACAAACATGTGGTCCAGATTGTGGAAAAGTTTGTCAAGAAGGTGAGACAAATGTGTCTAAATTCAGTCCTCACCCAGTTTCTCCTCAACATGTTTGTATACAGAATCGGTTTTCTCCCTCTGCTTTCCCCAGTGCAAGCCTGAGTACAAGGTAGCAGGCCTGTACGTGGTGGATTCCATCGTTCGGCAGTCCAGACACCAGTTTGGAGCGGACAAGGATGTGTTTGGCCCAAGATTTACCAAAAATATCACAGGAACGTTTAAGAACCTCTGCCTTTGCCCCATAGAAGACAGAGTAAGAACAGCAAGACCTGGTTAAAGTTTCAGTGTCATGTTTGGTAGCATTGTAGTTTTCAAATATTAGAATTAGATTTTGCCTTTGACCTCTGTCCTCGCCTCATTATCTTCCTTTGCAGAGTAAGATCGTGCGGGTGTTGAACCTGTGGCAGAAGAATGGGGTGTTCAAGATCGAGGTCATTCAGCCCCTCCTGGACATGGCGGCTGGGTCTAGCAGTGCTGCTGCTGCCTTTATGGGCACAGATGAGCCAGGTAACGTGTGTGGTTGTATGTATTAGTCGGTAGTTTGTAAGGCCATGCTATGTTAATTGTTTTTAAATACAAACACAACTTTATAGATTCCTTTCAGTTCTGTTTTTACACCTTCACACCGGCGATAGCCAGTGGCCGGAGGCATCATTATTCAAGTAGTCTGTCCGTCCGTCCCATTATCAAGAAAGCCTTGAGGGAATTTCTTCGAATTTGGTTTAAATATTCACTTAGACTCAAGGATAATCTGATAAGATGTTGGTGGTCAAAGGTCAAAGGTCACTGTGGCCGCAAAAACATGTTATTGGCCTCTTGAACGTGATATCTCAAGACTGCCTTTCAGTAGTACATTTTTAAATTTGCATTTTTATTTATATTGTAAATGAAATGTGGTACTGATATATAACTATCAGTGAATGATGGTAGTTTGTATGCTGCTCACAATTATTTTAAACCTTCCGCTCGTCCATCAGGTTCTTCTCCACCTTCAGCCAAAGAGCCAGTTACTGCGGTAACGGCAAACTCCTCCATGACATCCACTGCTCAGCTGCAAAGCTCTGATGCCTTCGCTGCCGTGGCACAGCTCCTTCAGGGTCAGCAGGTGAGTTTACACCAATGCAGCTTGGCAGTGCACCTCTCTTAGACCTTCACCAATAAACAACTCTTTTCTTTCACTCTTTGTCTATTTCATAGATTCAACAGATGCTCCAGAACTTTCAGCAGCAGCCGGTGAAACCAGACACCAACACTCAGCCTCCTCTCCATACGAGCCAAACCCAGGCCCAAAACATCACCGCCAGCCTGGGCATGGACACTCCACATCCTCCCCTGCCCACTCAGACCACCCAGCAGAAAACAGCCTTTGACAAGGTGTCAGTGTGGATTTGTTTTTTCGCATTTTCCATCAACACTGTTTAGACATGCTTACAAAATCAAATGAGGCTGTACAAGCTCTGCTGTGTTGAAAGTGTCTTCACTTTCATAACCTCTCTCTCTCTCTCTCTCTCTCTCATAGAAACTGCTCGACCGCTTTGACTACGACGATGAACCAGAAGCTGGAGAGGACACAAAAAAGGATGACATTGCATCACAGCCCTCTTTGTAAGCCCTACATTTATATAATATACTACTATTTGGGGGGGAAAAAAACGTTGAGTCTCATGCTGTATTTCTATTATCACAGTATGCAGCAGCCTCCGGCTTTCCCACAGCACATGGAGCACTTTAAACCATCAATGATTAACATGTCGCAAGACCTCTCACAACAGGTACGAGAATAAAAACTTAATTTGTAAAAGAACTGATCTTTTCTTTCAAGTCTAGTCCATTTTTATTTTAAATCAATACAAGTAGTAGGCTTTGTATTTGTGTTGTATTTGCATAATAGTCACCAGCGTTGTCTTTCTCAGGTTCCTCTTCCTCCTAACGGCCAGCACCAGGCCTATGGTTTACCATCAGGGCAAAGCTTCCCAGTTATGATGCCTCCTATGGGGCATGCTCTGCCAGGACAGCCCCTCCCTGGTTCTACTGGGCTTCCAGGTTTCCCAGGGGTATTTCCTCCCCACAACTCAGCCCAGCAACAACAGGTAGACGAAACAGTTGTGAAAAGAATATGTAAAAGATCACCCACCATTCCAGAAATCTGTAAACAAATGAGGTGTTGTAGGTTTAATAGTTTTTAGCTCATTATAACCACTTACTTTTCATACCACCACAGGATTTGCCAATGGATATGGACCGCTCGTCTGTGAGGGACGGCAGACATGGCCGCAGGTCACCACACTCAGGCTCCAGGTAGGCGTCTAAAGGAGGATATGACCTGTAAAACTTGGTTTCCCCCTTTTATCTTTTATTTTCCTATTTGTGATGAACATACCATGAGTTGCAGTGCCTTTTATTTTTCTTCAGGTCTCCAAAGCGGAGGAGGTCACGGTCTAATTCTCGCACACGACGGTCTAGGCACCGGCGATCCCGCTCGCGCTCCAGAGACCGGCGTCACCATTCCCCGCGCTCCCGCTCACAGGAGCGAAGGGAGAGAGAGAAAGAGAGAGAGCGGCGGCAGAAGGGCCTCCCACCACCCAAGAGTGAGACACTAAGCAGTGAGTCATCATCTATTTATTGTCATAGTTATTTTAGTAGTGGGACTGTCAGGTTAACTTTTTAGTTGTGTCATAAGCTTATTTTTGGATGATATTACAATTATTCCTTCCATTTTGATTCTAGTTATTACATTTATTTATTTTCTCCGTGTTACCTTTTATTTCTTAATCTCAGTTTGCAGTACCACTCTGTGGGTGGGCCAGCTGGACAAGAGAACACAACAGCAAGATGTCGCCTGTATACTGGAGGAGTTTGGGCAGATAGAATCCATCAATGTAAGCTGACTTGTACAGATCATTTACTCTGAGTCATTGTGTGGTTTGGTACAACAGAAATCTAATTTCCTAATCAACAGTGGGTTCCAAAAGTCCGAGACCACTTTCTCATTTAAACCCACTGTATATGAAGGCTGGGAAAATGCTTATTTTTGTATCTATTGGTCAAGTTATAGTAAATTTGTTATATATTTTGTGTTTTTCATGCACAGCTGTTGATTATCCTGGTGACATCCTAACACACTTAGCTTTGCATTGCTTTCTGCCATTGTTAAACTGATTTAGTGCCATAATGTGATAAAATTAAGGTAACTTATTGGAAATCACTGTCTCCTCGTCTTTCGCTGACCCGTCTGTTTGCCCTCCTCTTGTGAAGATGATTCCTCCACGTGGCTGTGCCTATATTGTCATGATTCATCGTCAAGATGCCTTCAGGGCTCTACAGAAGCTCGGCAGAGGATCTTACAAAGTTAACCAGAAAGCCATAAAGGTGAGCGAGTGACATTATTAATAAGAACAAATCAGCAACTCAAAAAGAAAATTAAGAATTGAATCTAGAGTTGTTGTTTTTTTCTCTTCTTGGCAGATTGCTTGGGCTTTGAACAAGGGCATAAAGGCTGAGTTCAAACAGTACTGGGACGTGGAGCTGGGTGTCACCTACATACCTTGGTCTAAAATCAGAGAGGACCAGTTGGAGGAGCTAAAAGAAGGAGGAGTTCTAGATGGAGACACCTTATCATCAGGTAAAACCTCTTGAAGGGCACTTTAGGACATCATACAAACAATTGCAGGCAGGCAGGCATACAATGAGACCCCACAAAGCTCTTGTGAGGAATATTTAAGACTAATTTAGAATTGTGTTTGTCTTTTCCAGAGTGGAGTGGAGCGAGGATGTCACTGGACCAACCAGAGGAACTCACCCACAACGGCCGTTCAGAGCCTGAGGAGACGCCAACGTTACCTGTGCCTGCAGCAGCTGCTCCTCCCACACAGGTAAACAACTTAGAGTTACAGATGAGTGGATCTATCACTAGAGTCACTGGGAAGTACAACTGAAAAAACTGTTCATTTGACATCGAAAGTGAATTGCTGTAACTGTCTCAGGTTCCTCCAATGCAGCAGCCAATGGTTGGTGTGGGTTCTCTCCAGCCTCCAGTCTTTCCTGGTCCTATGGGCATGCCCCCGCCTTCCTTCCCACCTGGCGTCCCCCCTCCCCCTTTCATCAGACCGGGCTTCAACCCTATGCAGATGCCTCCAGGTAGCACCTCTGACAATTGCCATCAAACCACATCTCTATGCACCAGAATTTGTTGGACTGTTGTGAAGACTTATTGTACCTTCTCTTCCCCCAGGTTTCCCTCCCCCAGGAGCCATGCCTCTAGGTCCCCCACCTCCTTCCAAAGGTGGACTTGAGGACCAGAACCTGGACCCAGCAGGTCTGGGCAACAGGAAAAACGATGAGGGCCCAGAGGCTCCCAACATGTTCAACAACCAGTTGGGACCTATGGGTCAGTCTGTCTTTCTTCTCAGACTTTTCACCAGGCAGTTATTTGTTGTTTGTCGTTCTTAGTCAAGGATTTATTTATCAGTGAGTTTGTGGGTTTATAAAATTAAAAGTTGTGTTTGGTTTTTGTTTTCTCCTTCAGGTAACCAAGTAGGTGTGCCTCCAGGTGTCCCACCAGGTGCTCTTTCAGGTTTACCTCCAGGTGGCCATCCAGGAAACATCCAGCCCCCCTCTGGTGGTCTGCTGGGTGCACGGCCTGGTATAATCCCACTCCAGAGACCTCCCGTTCCCCCACCTCCGCACTTGCAGCGTTTCCCTCCACCTCACGCAACAAGACCACCTCACCCCAACATGCCCCCTATGCCTCCACAGATGATTCCCAGGGGGCCACACCCTCAGATGATTCACCATGAGCCCCCTCCACCCAAAGGGGGCTTTGGGATGCCGCCTCCCCACAATATACGGGCTCCTTTCCCCCCTCATGGGCATGGCCCTCCTCCTCCTCAAGGTCCTCCTCCTCCTTTTATCAGACCGGGGGCCCCCCCTCGTAGTCAGGAAGGGCCAGAGGAAATGGAGGGGAGACCCTTCAGAGGTGATAGGCCTGGATTTAGGGACAGAGAGCCAGACAGGGACAGAGACTGGGATCGGGACAGGGACAGAGAAAGGGAAAGAGGTTTTGGAGGTGGAAGGCGTCCGTTTGGTGATGGAGGGAGGGGAGGAGGCAGTGAAAGAATGGAGGGCAGAGACAGGCTCGGAGGCTGGCAGGAGGAAGGAGGGAATCAACGTGGAGGAGGATGGGAGAGAGATAGGGATAGAGATAGGGACAGAGACAGGGACAGAGACCGTGATCGTGACAGAGATAGAGACAGACGGGACTGGAGGGAGAGGCGGACCAGTCTAGATAGGGACAGGGAACGGGGGAGAAGTGATGATGGGGAGAGAGATCCAGGGAGAGGGGAAGGAGGAGAAAGGGGAAGGGGAGAGGGAGGCAGTCGAGAAAGAGCGAGAGGAGCTGAAGGAAAAGAAGGGGACAGGCCGAGGCGGGAGCGGCGAGAGAGGACCACACGGTGGGACAGGGATGATCGACTGGCCGAATTAGAAAACATGGACAGATTTCGGACCTCGAACAGCACAGAGCAACCTTGTGTGACTCCTGTGGTCGCCGTGGAAACGAGTAAAGAACCGAACGTGGAAGCTTCTCAACAAAAGGCAGAATCGGAACCTGCTGCTGCGACAGAGCCGACGCCCTCTGAGCCTTTACCTCCATCTCAAAGTGAACCCACGGAAACAAAAGAGGAAGCGGCATCATAGACTGGCTCTGACTCCTCCTCCTTCAGCCAGAGAGTGCTGCGAACCACTGAGAGACAACAGCCTCGACTCCTGGCAGATGAATCCTAACTTGTCACCATTCGTCAGTTGCTAATGGTCATTTGTGGGAAGTAACAGATTTCTCGAAGACAAACATCTCCCACGCATATTATCAAATGTGCAAATGGACATTTGTCGTTGCATCTATGTCTCAAAACACAAAATCCATTGTGATCTATCGGGTGTCGCGTCTAGTTTTCCTCCTTCGTGTGAGTTGTGAGAAAGAAAGGAGCACTTTCCCACTGAGGCTAGTGTGAGCCAAGCGTTTATGTTTTTACTTGAGTTGGTTTGCAGACAGGAAACAAATGATTTATTTCGCACAAATTAATTTTTACTAAACCCTCATCTGCTTGATAGCTGGCACTCCTCAAGATGATGAATGTTATTTTTTAAATATATTTTTAAAATTTGCCCAAATATGACAAACTCTAAAGATCCATTATAATAGAAGCACCATTCTTTTTCCTGGTTGTTCTTGTCTCATCTTATTTTTCTTGTCAAAGGGCTATAGTGGCCTTAATATCCAATCAGGTTACTTGTGATTAAAAATAATGAAGTACAAATAAGAGAAGACAGAATTTTAAATATGTGAATATTTACTTGCCAATACCCAAAGTCCTTAGAAATCTCATTTCAATACATGGTCTTAAATTAAAAGAATAAATAAAGTAACACATAAGTCCTGAGACTCTTCCAAACACAGAACTTATTAGAAGCTGAGCTTATTCTCACCAGGTCCCTGAATCTAATTTAGTCGTCATCATTTACTGATTATCGGAATTACGCTCAATCACGTCTGAAAGAAGAACCACGTTTTTGGGACTCAGGGATGCTTCACGTTTTTTTTGACATTATTGTCTTTATCCAGCTGCCACCAACAAACAAAGAAAATCTTTTAATCATTTTGAATTTGGGACAAATGAAAACTATTGTCAAGGCTGAAAGACTGTGGCAGAGTAACATTAATTTGATTAACAGACATTGTGACTGACTCAGAGCCATTTCACTTAAAGACATTTCAGCATTAACACGCTCACAAACTGTCAATGAAAGAATAATGAAATCCAAGCTTATTGTGGCCTAACTCCCTTCAACTATTTATGGAGTAAACAAATTATGATATTGTGTAATAGGAAAATTGGAGTGAATTAGATTTACTACTAGAAGAGTAATTGTTATACAAAACAAAATTTGAGTACATCCATTTGTAAAGAAACATATTTCTACCCAGATTGGCCACAGCTGTTCAGAAACAGCTGAAGTTTCATTTTGGTTTCTGTTAAATGTTTAGATAGTGAAGTTTTTTTCCTGCTGTCTAAATTTCATACTCTTGCCTAAAGGTGTATTTTTTTTTGCCAGTTAAATAAAGCAGAAACCTTTTGTGGATCCAACTGAGGAAAATCCAACTCAAGTCCATTTCAAGTATTGTTACAAAAATCAAGGAGCCAGCGTTTGGGCTTTTGTTTGTTATCAGACAGATTTATGTTTGTGGTCTTTTCCTGTGTGAGGAAGGAAGGGTCTGATGTCTTTGACTAGATAAAAAAAAAAAAGCTGAACTGTGTGTTTTGGAATCTTCTTCTATTTATCTCATGTATGTCAGAAAATTCAGAAGTATAATTTAGTTTTTTTTCCATATGAAAATGCAAAAATGAATCCCTGAAGCTGAATTTTTTTTTTACTCTGATAAACACCGCCTGCAACTCAGAGTCTGTTTCACCGAAGACATATTTTGTGTTGCCACCCAGATTCCCAACAATCCCAACTCTTGCAACCTAATGGATTTGACACAGATGCATCACGGGCCGAACTAATGTGATGAAATGAAGAATACTGCTTTGGACACACTGCTGTAAATATGCTTGCAACACTGACGCTTCTAAAGGTGTCATGGTCCTTGTTGTTAATAATATGTGACTCGTTAATCAGAGAGAGAACACGTTGACTTTGAAGGATTAACAGAGGCCCTTTGCTTTACGGTTTTTAACTCCTCATGGTTTGAAGGTTGACACATGTTTCTATGATTTGTTAAAAATACAAAAGACATAAGATCGTCAATATTTCAACCATAGGAAATTGTTTTTAATAAACTATTTTTTTACCAAATCCTTTGGCTTGTTCAAATTATATTCTGTGCTTGACGCACGCAAATTATGTTGAACACATTTGACATAGTGGTCTCTTTGAATACCACAATCCTATATATCCAGTGAATTTTGAATTATTTGATGTTTACAGGTTGATCCTGTACTTGTGTAGCACCAAATCAAAACACAGGTTGTTTCAAAGAACTCGCCACAGAAAGGTCAAGACATTACATTCATTATAGGAAAAACCCAACTGCTCGACTGTGGAGAGAATTACTTTTTATATTTACGTCTAAGCCTCAGCAAGAAAAAGCTTAAAGGGGCGACCACCTCTGCAGCTCGAATAATTATTTACCTCTATCTTCATATGAGAACCCACTTTGTGCTACTACTGTACTGATCTGTGTCTTATTAAGACATGCCGTTGGTAGCCTTACCTCACAGTTCCTATACACCATGGATGGATATAAGGTTAATCCAGCATTATATTTCATGAAAGATATATTTATTCTTATTTTGAATAATGCATAGCTCAGGGTGATGTAACCCAACAGTATAGGCAACAGCACTGGGTGATGTAGCCAAAAATGAGTTGCATTATCATTTATTTTAAGTCTAAATGTTTGCTCCTGAGTAAAGGTTGTGGTTTTTAAACTCGTCTTTATGGATCAAGAATGACTTGACAAACAGCAAAACATTTTACAAACCTGAGTTAGATTCTCGTTTGTTGCACCTCCTCAATGTGCTCCCACAATGAATAAGCATAATATGGATACATGCATGTTGTTATAATGCTATTGATGAAAGTTATACTGCAGTGGTTATTGATATTGTTTTATCGACCAGGCCTGAGAGGAAAGATGATGCAAATAAGAGGTTACTGGTTTGAGTTAATGAAAGTAAACGTGGAAACCACATGTTTTGTGATAGTGACGATAACAATGAGTAATTCTAATAATTACAAATGTGGTAATGTTGCAGGAAAACTGAATGAAACGTTTTCAAACTAGGGGAAATGTGTTCACCTGCTTTAATGGAGCTGTGCGCTTAGCAGTCAGCGACCAATGAAAATCAGTCTCTCTGCTCGTACTCGCCTCTGATTGGCTGACCGTGACCTGCGCCCGCCTCTTCGACACATAAATACCCGGTTGGTTGTCTCTGTCAGCGACACACGTCAGAAACTTGTGCGTCTTTTCTCGGGGAACTGTCGCAGATATGGCGTTAAAAGCTGTTTGCGTTCTGAAAGGAGCCGGAGAAACCAGCGGGACCGTGCACTTCGAGCAGGAGGTGAGTCCCCGCGAGGCTGCCGATGTCGATGCCAACTGGGAAATCGAACATGTCGCCCGGTTAGCCATTCATCTCTGTGCAGCCTCTATGCTAAGCTAAGCTAGCTTGGCTCCATGCGCAAGTGACATCAGGGCAGGATAAGCTAGCTAGCTACGTTTTGAATGAGAGGGCACGAGGCTCGGTGTGATTTCAGATTTGCGTTTGTCATCTAACAGTTTGTAAAACAAAAAAACCAAAAAAAATTTTCACGTTGCTCAATGTGCGATTAGCGTCAAGTGCGCACACATCTGCCGCTTGTGTTATTTTTAGCAGGTTCCTCCAAAAAAAACTATAAATGCATCGAAAAAATCTCAGTGAACACAAGTTTGTCAATATTGATCCGTGACCTTTGACCGACTTCGGCCCCTTTGTTTTGTGAATGATCAACGCTGCGTGTGTGGAGACGCCTGTTGCATAAGTCTGACGTTACGTGTGTGTGTGTGTGTGTGTGTGTNTGTGTGTGTGTGTGTGTGTGTGTGTGTGTGTTTGCAGAAACTCCCCAAAATGGTGGAACATCTTCTAGCAGCTGTTTCACAAAAGGACAAATTGAATTCTGATCATTTAAAGGAAAAACAAATAAGAGATTGCTTGTAATTTCTGCTGAGTCACTGCGGGTGTCTCAGCCCCCCCCCGCCCCCTGTTTCTGGCCCTGGAGATAAAACCATGTGTCATGACAGGTCCCAGTACTACACAGTCAGTAATGCACTGTTTTTAAAGAACCATCATTCACACTGGACCAGATATTCTGTCCATTGAAGTTGGTTATGGAGCATTATATATCTTTGAGCACTGAGAGGTTTCAGGTGACTGATATTTGAATAGGGATAGAAAAATCAGCTTTGCAGAAATGAGAAGGTCTAATGTGCACATGTGTTGTCACATATCTGTATTAGGACATTTCCATGACAATGTTTGTCTGGTTGGTGTGTGAACGGGATGAGAAGGATCCTTGTTTTCGTCCAGCCAGCGTCTGGTTTTGACAGCTGCTTTTGTGTCTGATGAACTGTTTCATCTCACTCAGGACAATTCAGCTCCTGTGAAGGTGTCAGGGAAAATCTCAGGTCTTGCCCCTGGTGAACACGGTTTCCACGTTCATGCTTTTGGAGATAACACAAACGGTGAGTAGCTGACAATAAGTGTGTGTACATGTAATCTTGTTTGTAAATAGCTACGGCATTTCCTGGTTCTTTTTTCTCCCACAAACAGACTAATTCTGAGGATTTTTCCCCTCATTCCCAGGGTGCATCAGTGCAGGACCTCACTTCAATCCCCACGGCAAGAATCATGCTGGTCCTACTGATGCAGAAAGGTGAGAAAGTGTTTCGCTTTGGTGGCGGTAGCTGTGTGAGGATAACAGTTTGACAAGGGTTGATTATCAGTGATTGGTCAATGAGTCGAGGCCTGACACAAGTGTTCCTCGAATTTGATCAACAAAGTCCGAGGGCACTGCAACTGCACAAGTTCAAACTTTTTTAAATGCCCATATGCACGTATTCCCATTTTGATCACTGTGTGAAAATGATTTTAAAACAGAAATGCAGCTCAAAAAGCTTTTACAACAACTACTTCAGATTCATTGAGTGCTTAACATCAAACTACAGAAAATGAACATTAAAAAACAATGTGTGAATGGTTCAGCATTTTGTTTTTGTTCAACTCCTAAACTGGAAACACTTTCTACTATTGGACGCTTTGGAAAGATTAACAGTATTAGAAATTTAAATGAACTTTCAAGGTTATTGCAAAACTTGTTTTGTATTTAAACAGGCACGTTGGAGACCTGGGGAATGTGACTGCTGGAAAAGATAATGTTGCTGAGATAAACATCTCTGACAAGATAATCACCCTCTTTGGTGCCCATTCCATTATTGGCCGAACCATGGTGGTAAGGAAAAGTGCTTTTCATCTTCCAATTTTAATTTCCCGTGAATGAAAAATGACACTAGGAAGGCAGGTTTTACTCCAAGGTAAAGTTGTTTGTCTTGGCTTCCTATGGGGGGGGAGGGGGTAACCTGCAGGATATTATAGTTTATTGACTGGAGCTGAGCCTCTGGGCCATAAACTGTCCATGAGAATTCTTTGACTGTGCTCTTTGTCCTCTGTTTTAGATCCACGAGAAGGCTGACGATCTAGGAAAAGGAGGCAACGAAGAGAGTCTAAAGACGGGCAATGCTGGTGCACGTCTGGCCTGTGGAGTCATTGGCATCACGCAGTAAAAACAATCTGCCCAAACTCAAAGCACTGGAAATGGCTTTTCCCCCCCACAGCACTTAATAAGACCAACATAGCTACTTAATGTGACAGTTTTTCCTTTTTTCAATACTTCGTTTTGACCAGTCAAGAGAGTAGATGCTGTACAGTCCTCGTCATGACAATTGTCTGTATGGATTCATGTCTGTTGACTAGTCTTGGTCCCAAAGAGTTAGTTACGCACAAGTAATAAACTGTTGTATATGACTTACAAAGTTCAAAAATAAAATGTCTGTTCATTCGAACAGTGTGTGATAATTCTGCTATTTGTGGTGTGTGTGTGTGTGTGTAGATGGTTGGCAGGCAATCAAGACATAACATGGAATAGAGCAGCAACGGATCTGTTTCACATCCTTGATGGACCATTCACTGAATGTTATTTCTCTTCTCTACCTAATGTGTTTCCTGTCGCCCTTCATCTTTCCTGTCCATAGTGTTTTCACAAGGTGACAGATACAATTAGAAACAGGGACAGGTTTTTAAAAATGGTGGCTGAAATAAAGCAATGGAGCATTGGATCATTTCAGTTGTTTATTACTTGCAGCAGTTCTCAACATAGGCTAGGTCATAAGCTAGCATCCAGGTGTAATAACCCACTAGGTAAGTATTCTCTGATCTATATACTTGTGAAAGCCTATATAGCTAACTTTGGCTAACTGGTGTGCAGTCACATTTTATGTTTTTTTGAATCTCTGGAATGTTTTTATAGGAAAAGATAAAGGTCAAAATATAATATGGCTATATAATAACTTCAAGTATGCTGTAGCCTGAGTTTTAATAGGACAGTATGCTCTCTTGGTTTCTATACTTGAAATACCACCGAGACTGAGGAACACATGATTGAATTAATAAACCAGGAATAATTTCTGATTGCAACTGATTAAAATTAATTTTCCCCTGGGTAGTAATTTGAGTATTGTTAATATTAGAAGTAACAACCAACACTGACTGAACATATATATATATATATATATACACTTTTATTACAAAGTCAATGGAGACATAAATTTCCCAAATACAAGACTTCCTGTAGCAGAGTTGTGGTTTTGTGTTGCACCAGTTTCCTTATGATTGAAATAAGTTACCTTTAAATGTGTGATCTATGTCATTAAGTTTATTTAAACATGTGTCTCTCATCCTGAAATAAATCTCTTATGTTTCCTCTTTTGATTGTGTCTAGTCTAAGGTTCTAACTTTTCTCTTTGGCTCTTTCTGTCCTTACTTTGTTCTCTTGTTTGTTTTCTAACTGTTGTGTGTGTAAGTGTTTGGGACCCCCTCGAAAACAAGATGATGCATCTCAAGGGGTTTATCCCGTGTCAATACATTTCTAAAAGCACTATATAAGTTTTAAAACAGACCCCTGACACATTTCTCAAATATGGCAGAAGTCTTGGATCACGTTCGGTCACCGTGCAAGAAACCTGATGTCTGTTATTTCAGATGGGTCATTCCTAATTTTCTTAAATTTCAAAATTCATCCAACCTGGGTCAGTGCCTGGGTTATAGGGCATTTTAGCTTCAGAAACTTCAATAAATGAAAAGTATCAAACAACAAAAAGCTGATTAAGATGCAACTGAATCCACCTGCTGTTCATTCTCAGACAGGGTGTTTTCAGGAGGCTCTGGCAGCAGAAGTTTGGATCCCTGGTTGATCAGCTTCTCTCTGGGTTGGTGTATTAAGCTGTATCATCCTCTAGAGGGCATTGCACCCCCTCATTACTGTAACGAGCGTTTCTTTCGGATGTAGGGAAGTTAGTTTGGTATTATAGATTGTTCTGTTTGTTAGTTTGCCTGTGCTCTTCCTGACGTTTTGTTTTGGACTGCAACATCTGCTGTAATAGTAATAGAGATAGAGATAAGATCAAATAAGTAAAGAAAATAAATGGGGTAATGTGCCACGTTA